TGCCCACCGAGACTCCCCTTGGTGGCCCGGGGAGGCCGCCCCCACCTCGCCATGTAGCTGAAGGACCACCCTGGCCAAAGAGCCCCTGCTTCACCCTCCTCATCCTGCTCCCAGCAGCCGTGTGGCAGCTGAGGCCATCCCAGTGCCCAGGGGCTCATGTGGGAGCAGCCCCAAACCCATCGCATCCTCCCAGAGAGCATCTACGCCGCCAAGGCCGCAGCTCTGCAGGAGTCAGGCAGTGGAAAAGGGCGCCGCACTCACACCCAAGCTCCGGCCGGGAGCACGACCTGCTGGAGCAGCTTACACGTTATAGTGTTTTTTTCCTGTTTTCTTGAAAAGCAGAATGCTGAGGRAAAGCATTAATATAAACTCTGGGGCTGAGCTGCCCCGCTGGCGCTGTGGCTCCCTCCACACACGGCCCATGGGAGAACCGGGCAGACAGGTTGGGTGGGTTGCCACGAGCTTCCTGCTCCCCTTATTTATTTATTTATTTCTTCCCTTCAGCTGGTTGGAGCCCTTTCCGTTCCACACAGGTGCAGGTGGAGGTGGAGCAGCCGGAGGGAGGAGGGTGGCAGCGGCCGGCCGCCCAGCCGGCCATCGGGGTGGGAGGTGGGGAGGAAAAGGAGGAGGGGAGGAGGTAAATAAATAAAAAAAAAAAAAGAAATCAAGGAAAGGGAAAAAACAAAACCGTGCGGTCCGAGCGAGCGGCACCGGAGCAGCCCAGGTAAACGCCGCTCTGCCCGTGGACATCTCCGCGTCCCCGCGCGCGGAAGAGGCAGCCGGGCTCCGCGGCTTGGCCCATGTCACCGCTTCCGATTATTCCAGCCCCGGAGCCGCCTCCGCGGCGGCCGCCGTGCGTGGACTTTGCTCCCCCCGGAAGACAGGGCCCTCCTTTTCCGTGCGTCCCGCCAGCAATGCCGACGCCGGCGGCTGGGCCACGCGCCGCCTGAGCGAGGGGACGCCATGGCGGGTAGGGCTTTGCGTCGAGCCCCGCTCCCCACACTGGCCAGGCAGCACAGCCACCACCCAGACCCTCTCGGCTCCCCCCGTCTCCTCCAGACCCACGCCAGTGGGAGAGCCCCTTTCCCCGGGACGGCTCCCGCCCGGCTTTCCRCTCTGCCCCCCGCAGGCCTCTGCAGTGTGGCCCCCGAAATGGTCTCCCCGGCCGCCAACGAGACCCTGGAGCTGGCGCTGGGCAGCCGGGCGGCGCTCAACTGCACGGCGCGCTGGGCGGCCGGCGGGCGCTGCGAGCTCCCGGTGGCCTGGGCCAAGGACGGCCGCTGGCTGGACGGCGGCAGCAGCCGCGACACCGCCTGGTGAGTGGCCCCGGTGCCCCGCGGGTGGACGGCCGGGCGCCGGCGCCGCTCGCTGAGCGCTGCCCTTGCGCCAGGACGGGCCTCAACGCCTCCGAGCGCCTCCTCGCCAGCRTCCTGCAGGTCAACCTGAGCCGGGAGGGCGACTTCGGCGTCTTTGCCTGCTGGCTTGGCAACGCCACGGCCACCTTCACGCTGCGCCGAGCAGGTGCCGCCCGGGACGCCCAGGGGGGCGGGAAGGAAAGAAAGGGGGTCCCACGAGGCCGGAGGCGCCGGCTTCCCCCCAACCTGCCGGCCCTTTCCGCGCAGAAGCCGCGGGGCACGTGAGCGCGGTGCTGGCGGCCCTGGCCGTGCTGGGGCTCCTGGCGCTCTTGGCCGCGCTCTACGTCAAGTGTCGCCTCAACGCGCTGCTCTGGTACCGGGAGCGCTACGGGGAGCTGGAGATCAACGGTGAGCTGCCGCGGGGGCCACTGCGCACCGGGAGCCGCGCTCCGGGGCTGCTTGCACGTGCTGCCTTGGTGGGGGCCCCTGCAGCACCCCGCTGGGGATCCCCTGGGTGTCCCAGCCACCGGGGCCAGCTCCTCCCTAGCATTCCCTCCCATTGCCGGGGCCCCGCTGGGTGCTCGGCGCAGACGGGAAGCTCTACGATGCCTACGTGTCCCACACCAACACCCCCGACGACAAGAAGTTCGTGCACTTCATCATGAAGCCGCAGCTGGAGAACCGGCACGGCTACAAGCTCTTCCTGGACGATAAAGCCATCCTGCCCAACTCGGGTAAGCAGGGGCCGCAGTGCGGTGCCCGCTGCGCTCGCCAAGGGCAGGGATGAGCCCGGAGCACGTGCCGATGCCCCGCCACTCTGCTCCCGCTCTCGCAGAGCCTTCGGCCGACCTCATCATGAACGTGAGCCGGTGCCGGCGCCTCATCGTGGTGCTCTCCGTGGCCTACCTGGAGCGAGAGTGGTGCAACGGCAGCTTCAGGTGAGAGCAGCATCTCCCGCTTGCTCCTGACGGGACATGCGCTGGAGGCTCCCACATTATACCGGATTTGAGCAGCGCCTGGTACTCTGACATCCTTCCTCCTGGTCCTGCCTTGCAGGGAAGGGCTCTGGAGGCTGCTGGAACTCTCCAAGAGACCCATCTTCATCGTCTTTGAGAGCCAGTGCCGGGACGCGGTGCAGCCAGCCGTCAGCCTCCTGAAGCAGCACCGGGGCGCCGTGGTGCTGCTCGTGTGGCGAGCCAGCTCCATGGTGAGCTCCGCTCGCTGCCCTTCTTGGCCTTGGGCTGAGACCCGCAGTGCTGTGGCCGTGCGCGGCGTGGTGTCGTGGGCGGCACGGCCCAGAAACCTCCCGCGTGCCCCTTGCACCGTCTACGCCTCCTTGCTGGGCTCCTGGCTCCACAGGGAGCACTTGGAGCTCTAGGAAGTCTCTCCAAGCCCCATCCGTGTGGTGCCAGGGCCTGGCTTTCCCTCCACGCGCCTCTTCCTTTCCTGCCTGCCCCATGCAGACCCYGTCATCGGACTTCTGGAAGGAGCTGTGCCTGGCGCTGCCCCGCAAGGTGGCTTTCCGGGCCACCATGGGGGACCCGCAGACCCGGCTGCAGGAGGACAAGGACCCCATGCTGGTCCTGCACAGCAACGACCCGGAGAGCCGTGGTGACCCGCACCCCGATGGAGACCTGGGTACGTGTCCTTGCCCCGCTGCTGCTCCTGCGGGGCTCCGTGTGTGCCGGGGACGGGGTGCCGCTCTCCTGCCCCGAGCAGACCCTTCGCCCTGGCTGCCCGGCGCATCTCTCCCTGCTTCCAGGCCTGCGAGGGTCCCTGTTCCGAGGGCTGCCGCCGCCTCGCGTGAGCAGCCTGCTGGCAGCGCCGGAGCGGGCGCAGCTGCGGGATGCCCGGCGCCAGGACGTGGACGTCTCGGACCTGGGCTCGCGCAGCTACGCTGCCCGCACGGACTTCTACTGCCTGGTGACCGAGGACGACGTCTGAGGCAGGGCTGCCCGCAGCCCTGGCCTCGTGCTGGAACCAAAACTGGGACACGGCCTGGGAGAGAGCCGGGGCCAGCGTCTCCTTCCCCATTCGCCTCTCCCATGGGACTGGCTTGCGGGAGGGGACAGCCCTGTCCTCACCACAGTGCCCGTGCTGTGGCCTCCGCCAATGCTGGGCTGCCCTCTTCCCTCACCACGGCTGGCAGGGATGTTCCCCCCAAACTGGGATGACGGGGACAGGCTGGAAAGCACCGGAGTAGCCGCGGGCAGCCACACTCCCTCCTCCCGCCGGCAATAAAGCTGCGCCGCTCGGAGCAGGTCTTGTCCGTGCGGAGCTGCTGCTGCGCGGCAGGGCGCTGGGCTTTGCACGAGGACCCCGCTTCCCTCCCGAGCGCGGGCGGCACGCGGACACCGTGGGAACGGACACCTTTTTATTTGGGACAGGCCGCGGGGCGGCCGCGCGCCGCCGTGCCCGCCTACTCCGTGCCCCAGCGCGGGTGCCCTGCACCGCTGCGGCACCCCAGGCAAAAAGCGAACCCGCCACCCGCCCCGCGCGCAAGCACAGGGAGCAGCAGGGACTAGACTACGAGCCGGGTGCCACGGCGAGCGGCCTTCCTGGGGGGAGAGCTCAGTCCCTCCTCCTCCTCCTCCTCCTCCTTGCCCGGGGCTCGTTCTTAGAGGCTGAGGAAATCCTCCTTGCGGTAGCCCTTCTGCAAGAGAGCAGGCCCCCCGTCAGCCATCCTGCTGGGGACACCCCTTTCCCCACGGCGCCGGGACTGGCTCTCAGGGCCCCAATGCCCACAGGGGCTCCCCGGCAGCGCGGAACAGTGGGGCCGGCCTGGGGGGCGCGGCGGGGCGGCACGTACCATCTTGAAGTCCCGGTGGAGCTTGGTGTATTGCCACATGTTGCCCAGGAGGCTGGCGGCTGCTCTGGAGGACTTCTCGTGGTCCGAGCTAGGGGGGCACAGAGGACACAGTGACTTTCGGGCAGCACCAGGCATGAGAAGGTGCCTGTGGGGCACGGGATGGTGCCCATCACCASAGAGGGCACCGCCCCATGGGGATGAGGAGGTCCTGCAGCTGGGAAGAGGCAGAAAACCGAAGGCTGGAGCCCACCAAGCCTGGTAGGGGAACAAATATTTCTAGMCTAGACAAGAAGAATCCAGACACGGTGGGCGAAGTCCTGAGGAGGTGACAAAGGGTCGGGTGGTGGCCATGAGGACACCCTCAGAGGGATCAAGGGGGCTTGCAACAACAAGCCTTGGGGGCTCTGGTTGTGGCTCTTCTGCTTCATGGACAAGCAGGAGCAGGGGAAGGCAAGAGAGGATCTTCACTAGGTCCAAGCTGGGACAGTGGGGCCCGGGGGAGGCTGGCAGGGCAGGCAGGGAAGTCCCACCTGTCCCTTCTCTTCTTGATGTAGAAGAGCTTTCTGAGGCCGTCGAAGTAGACGATGTCGCGGGCGGCCATGGGGCTCTCCACCACCAGGTTGTTGAGCACCGCGATGATGTTAACGATGACGTCGGCGGGTGGCGACTTGTCCCCGACGCCGCCCGGCAGCTTCTCTATCAAGTGGCTGACCACCTTGGTTGCTGGCAGGCCAAGGGGTCRCGTCAGGGCTGGCAGCCCAACCCCGCACACCCCCAAACCTCTGGCCAAGGACCCATGGGGCAGTGCCATGGGCATCGCCAACCCCCAGCCTCGYTCTCCTGCTGTCTCTGCAGAGACAGGGAGTGGATCGGCCTGGAGGGCCGTGGGCCAAGCGATGGAGGCAGCCGCCTGGCTCCCCCGCAGCGGCCCCGGCCCGGCCCTCCCGGCACTCACACATCTCATCCTTGTTGCGCGCGTGGCGGGACAGGTTGCGGATGAGCCCCGTGAGCGAGCGCAGCTGGTGGTGGTCGGCGGTGCGCACGCGGTCCAGCACGGGGTTCAGGATGCGCTCCTGCTCCAAGGCCAGCCTGCTCAGCACGCCCGCCCACTGCGGAGGCAAGAGCTCCCGTGGAGGCGCCGGCTGGCTCCCGCCGGCCGCCCGGCGCCGCCTCTCTCGGCCCGCGCTGCTCCGGGCGGGATGAGCCGCCGCGCGCGGTGATGGGCGTGCGGCGGGACGCCCATCCAGGCCCGCCTGTCCGGGCTGAGTAGGCAGTGTGGTGGCCACATCCCCGGGCAGGTGAGGCCGGGACGAAGCCGGGGCCCTGCCCAGGTGTGGCCACGATTAGCCGGACAATGGAGGGACGTGCCCCAGCCCGCGGCTGGGACAGGGCCAGGGCGGCACCGTCCCCATGGAGGGGCTCACCCTGCGGTCCCCGGCCGTGATGTTCTGCAGCGCCCCCGAGGCGGCCTCCGTCGTGTGCTTGTTGAGCTCGCAGCGCTGCAGCAGCCGGTTGTAGATGCCCACGATCTGCGGGTTCCAGAGCCACTCCATGCCCTTGGGGTCCTTGGAGACCTCGGTGAAGGTGACGATGTCCGCGCTCATGTAGTGCTGCAGGGYGCGGGGGACACCGTTAGACCGGCCACCCCTCTTGCTCCATCCCTCCTGCTCTCACACTGGGGGCATCACGGAGGTCCTTGYGCAGGGAGGCAGCAGTGCCCGTCCGCCCAGGCTGCGGCTCGCCCAGCTCGGCAGCTGCCCTCGATGTGTCACATCGCTTGGCACGAGGGGTTCCGCACCCGCTCCACCCGCCCCGCGTATGAGCGGCGTCTGATTCACCCTCTGCTGAGCTCACCCGCGTGTCCCACCCAACACGCAGGGCCCGCGTCCACCTCCGCCCTGGTGCCACCTCAGGCCCTGGCTACTCCTCAGTTGCTTTTCCACCTGAGAACAAACGYGGCCGGCACTGACCTCTCGCGCCTTCTTGCTCTGGGGGCTGAAACAGCCCACGAGCTCCCCCGTCATGGTGCTGTTGTTGTTCCTCCTGTGGCCCTCCAAGCGCTGCAGCGAGGATGGGGGCATCTCATCGTACAGGCGGTAGGAGAGGTTTCGCAGGACGCAGACGGCGTTCTCCACGCTCTGGGAGGACACGGGTTATGGGGCGTCAGTCTTCAGCCCACCARCCAAGGCCGAGTGCGAGGTGGCAGCCAAAACCCCTGGGCAGGGAGCAGCGACACCCCATGGAGGGCATCAAGGACAGCCCAAAGCCCCCRGCACGACAGGCCCAGGGCTCACCTTGTCCTCCGACTTGCCCACTTCCAGGGAGCTGTTAACGTAATGGATCATGGAGTCCACCAGCCCGTGGCACTCGCGCATCTTCTGCCGGGTCTGCTGGCTGGCAGAGCTGAGGTTTCTGCATGGCGAAAGCAGGTTATTAGCTGACCCAAGGGCTTGACCAGGCTTAGCCATGACACACAAGGGCTGTGAGGGACAAGGGCCCTTCAAAAGGGCTCTGAAGTCCTTAAGCACCGCCCTGGCACCCAACTGACACATCTCAGCGTCACCCAGCCTGCCTTTACCAGCTGGCCCTGGTGCTGTGGCCACAGCAAGGGGACTGGATTAAGGGAGCCAGCCCAGAGCAGGTACCTGAGGAAGCCTGTGGAGTTGTAGAAGATCTCTGCCTCAGAGGGGTTCTGCTGGATGACACCCGAGCCACCCAGRCCGGAGAGCGGGACCAGCACCAGGTCCGTGAGCTGCTCCAGCGTGTCCCGGGCCAGGCGGTCCTTCAGGTTGTCGCTGGAGGAGAGGTTCCACAGGATCCCTGCACCGACAGGGACACGCGGTGAGCGTGGCCGTCGCGAGGCGCTCGCTCGCGTCCTCACTGGGCTGGCACAGCCACGGGGACGTGATCCAAAGAGGCAGTGGGACCTTCCCTGGCAGCAGCCCAGCACCGCAACCACGTAGCCCCRCTGGGCAAGGAAGATGGACACAGCCCCACCTCAGAGCTAACCCCGGGGACCCACGTGTTCCCTCTGTAGACGAAGACATTGCTGCATTGGTCACTCTTGCTGCGCATTCTCCTTGCCCATCCTCTGGCTGGCCCCTAGAAGTGACTCTTGGCCTCAGCCCTAGGCAGGAGGACCACAAGCTCTCCCCGTTCCTGCCCCATGCCCACGCCGCAGTGCGCTCCGACCTGTGACGTTCTTGCGGAGCTCGTCGTCGGGCTCCCGCAGCGTCCGCATGAGCTCGTAGATGCCGTTCTCCTCCACCAGGGCCAGCTTGTTCTCGGCGTTGTCGTAGATGAGGTTGCGCATGGCGCCCGTGGCATGGCGCTGCACCTCCTGGTTGGGGCTGTTGAACAGCTTCACCAGCTTGGGCATGGCCTGGAGGCTGCGCGCCTGCGACGAGAGGGCCGGCCGAGGCTGAGGTGCCAAGCCATGGACGGTGCCCCACGAGGAGCGCGCCCCACAGATGGCCTCCCCACGCCATCCTGCATGCGCCCGAGGGACCAGCAGGCTGGGTTCTTGCCCAGAGGCAGCCCCCATATCCTTCACCCTCCCAGAGGGGCTTCCCAACAATGAGGAGAGCCCAAAGAAGGTCAATGGGAGGCCAAGAAGAAGGTCCCCTCTGGCTGCCGGGTGCCCACCTGCTTCTTGGCGTTGCCATCGCTGTAGCATTTGTGCTGGAGGTAGGCAGCGCCCAGCACCTGCAGGTTGGGGTCGCTGGCGATCAGGTACTTGACCGCAGAGGGCAGGTCGATGTCGTCAAACCTGAGGGACACAAGCAGCTGAGGAGCGGCCCACACAGAGCGCTCCCCGCTACAGRTCTCTCCATCTGCACCCCACCATGTCCCACTGGCATCGCAGAGGACACCCACCAGCCCATCTCCCACACGTCCTTCCCCAGGCATGGGAGCTTCCCACGCCCGTGTCTCAAGGGGGGCAGTGAGACAGGTCCCCAGCAAGATGCCCAGCCTCGGCCTGCMTCACCTCCACCTCCCACACCTTGCGAGGAGACTGCACAGGATGAGAGYCGCAGGAGCCCCGCGGCTCCCCACGGACCAGCCGAGCTGCCACGCGGGCCGCCACTCACCCTCCGGAGTGCTGGGAGAGCAGCGTGCCGAGCCCGTTGTAGGCGCCGCCGCCRTCGCGCTGGTCGTGCAGGTGGTGCCCGGCCTCGGCCAGGCTGCGGACCGAGGGGGCGCGGGAGCTGTGCTCGGCCGCGCCGCCCGCGTAGGCGCCGGCGGCGCCGAGGCGCGAGCGGTTGTTGCTCTGGAAGCGCTGCAGCGTGCGCATGGCGGGCGCCCGGATGGTGCGGCTCGGCGGGCCCTCGCCGCCGTCCAGCCACGCGCCGCCGCCGCCGCTGCTCAGCCGCCGCTCGAAGGTGTAGGAGCGCGCGAAGCCGCCGCCGCCGCGGTAGAGGCTGCGCGCGGGCTCCAGCTGCTCGGACACCACGCTGTAGCGGTCGTCGGCGCCGCGGGCCGGCCCCTCGGCCAGGCGCAGCGAGCGCAGCGAGAGCGTGTCGAAGCTGGGCCGCGCGCCGAAGGAGCGCTCATGGAAGGAGCTGGGCCGTGGCGGGGAGGCCGCCGCCGCCGGCCCGTAGGCGCCTGCGTAGCCCGTGGCCGGGCCCCCGTTGGCGGCGGCCGCCGGGCGCTTGCGCGGCGCCAGGTCCACGGCCGAGCGCGAGGACCAGCTGCTGGCGGCCAGGGTGCCGTAGTCGCTCCGGCTGGACGCCTGGAAGAGCTGCGGGGCAGGCGGAAAGGCAGTGGCGTGAGGCGGGGGGCGGCGAGGGGACAGGCCGGGGCTGGGGGGGCGGCTACGCACCGAGCCTCGCGCCTCCGAGCCGGCGCCCTGCGAGCGGGAGCTGAAGGCCGGGCGCAGCGTCGCGCTGGGCTGGCCGCCTGCGGAGGGACACGCAGCACACGGGCACACGTCAGCCTCTGGCTTCGGCTCCGGGACCCCCCAAACGCCGGAGCAGACCCCCCCAAAGCACCGACACCCCCCATGCCAGCGTGAAGAGGGAAGAAGGAGCCCCAAAAGCCGGGCTGGGGGGTCCCCACAACCCAGCTCCCGCCCCATTGCCGAGGCCCGCGGAGCCGCCGGGGCGGCGGCCGCTGCYGCCGCCGCCAAATGGAGGTGCTTGGAGAGCGGCCAGCGGCGGGAGCTGCCGCGTGACGCCTGCGACGGGGCCTGTGGCGGGCGACGGAGGGTGGTGGGGGGCGCAGCAGGGAACCAAGCAACCCTCCTTTCCCTTCCCTTCCTCTCCCTTCCCTTCCCGGGCAGCTCCCCAGCACCGCGGCCGCGGGGCGGGCCCGGGGTCGGCCCCCCGCGCCCGGCGGCGCCGCGATCGCGCGCCCACCTGCGGCGTCGGCGGCGAAGTCGAGGCCAAGCCCTGGGGGCCGGGGGGCCGCCTGGCCCTTGAGCATCATGCGCAGCCGGACCTGCTCGTGGACGCGGGCGCTGCGCAGCCGCTGCGCCTCGCCCGCCGCGCCGCCCCGGCCCTCCAGCTGCCGGTCCGAGGGCAGCGCCAGCGAGCACACGCCGGCCTCGGGCTGCAGGGCCGACAGGAAGAAGTTGCCCTCCTGCATGGCGGGGCGCTCGCCGTGGCTCCCCGGGGCCACCTTAAGCAGGTGAGCGCGGCGGCGGCGRCCGGCGATGGCGGCGCCGGGGCCTTCCCAACCCTTAAGGTGGAAGCGGGCCCGCCCCGCCGCCGCCACGCCTCGCCGTTCCGCGCACCGCGGCCGCGGGCCCTAATTAAGAGCCRGGCGCCGCTTCGCTTGCTGGGCCGGGCGCGGGGACGCGGGGCAGCCCCGCATGGGCTGGGCCGCGAGGCTCCTGTCACCGCGTTGCAGCCCGCCGCATTCCTGCAGCGAGTTGTGCCTGGTCTCGTGCGCGCCCCCACGGACGGGCCCGGCTGCCAGCCCCAGGGAGAGGGACAACTGGGGTGCTCAAAGGCTCGTGACACGCGGGCAGAGCGGCCCACGCGGCCCCCACGCTCTGTCACGGCGGGGAAGGGCCGGGCGGCCGTGCCAGCCGGCGGCATGCGGAGCCACGCGGCCGCTCCCGCACTGCGGACCTTGCACCGGGCTGGGCTGGGAGGCGCCGGCGCTGGGAGCGCCCGGCCTCACGGCACCGGCGGATATAAGGCCGGTGGACACGGGCCCTGTGCCGGAGCCAAGCGCCGGCTGCGTGACAGTGTCACCAAAGCCAGGGAATAACAGGGTGGGGGACCYGTGAGGCACCGCCACAGCCGCCCGCCCCGGCGAGGAGGCACGTGGGAGCCGGCCCCCAGGCTGAGCTGGGATCGCGGCGCTTTTCCATGGGGGAGCCCCCGTGCGCCAGCCCGGGATCCTCCCACAGCTGGGAACAGCCCCTGGGCAACTGCGGGGACCCCCACGGGGACCCCGGCTCAGGCTGTGCCCCCTGGCGCTGCGAGGGGAGCCCAGGGCCGGGCGGCGGCGGCGCCCGCGCGGGGACGGCGCTCGTGCTGCGGATGAGGCACAAGGCTGGAGGGGGCGGCGGMGGCCGCGGCACCGCTGCCCTGCGCTCCTCCCCGGGCTCTTTGATCCCTCGGAAAAGAGGAAGGCAGCACGAGAAAGAGCAAAGGCAGCATGGAAAAAAACACCCCAGGCTCTTCCCGAGGGGATCCAGACTCCTGCAGGCCACACAGGGCCGGCAGGACGGCGGCTCTGGGGCAAAYGTGGTCCCCGATGACCCCGGGGCCCCTCGGCGAGCAGGGGAGCAGGGCACGAGGCAGCGGGTGAGGAGGGAGCTGTGGGGCCAGGTCCGCGCGCCGGGCCCGGCACCTACCTGAGCGGGCGGCCCCGCGGGGCCGTCGCCCTGCAGCATGCTGCGAGCTCGCCCGACCGGTCGCCGCCGCGGCGCGTCGAGGCTGTGGAGCGGCACGCGCCGCGCGCCA